GAGACTCAGAGGGTGGAGGGGAAATGCCTTTATTTATCCTGGACAGGTGCGGCTGGGCCTGCAACGTGAGCTGCCCTCTCACCCCCACCCTCTCCAACCCCAGCCGGTTCTCCAGGAAATGGGGGAGGGGTGGCAGCAGCTCCAAACGCCCCGCCCCCACCCCTGTGGGAGCAGCTAGGCCAGAGGCTGGGGCCGTGGTCTGGGACGTTGTCCCTTCGTGCATGTTGTGGCCCCTGGCAGTATGACCAAGGCCTATGCTTTTGTTTGGCTCTGCTGCTCTCAGCTATGTTACCTTAGAAAAGTCAGTTCACCTTTTCAGCCTCAGTTTTCTCATCTGTAAGATGGGGAGAGTGCATTCATGAAAACACATGTGTGAGAGTGCATCCTAATGGGCACTTCTGAAAATACACCTGTGAAGATGGGGGAGTGGTAGAACTGAGCCCCGGCCCAGGGGGGTGCTGTCTCCCTGCTCCAAGGCCTCCAGTCCTTAGGGCCTCACCCACTGGCCTAGCAGGCTCACCTGGGTCCCCAGCCTGGAGGCCTCTGCCCGTTTGCTGTTTCCGGTTCCAGGATTTGTCAGGTTCTCCCAGCTATGGGGGTGGGTGCAGAGGACAGAGGGTCCCCTAGGAGAGGAAGGAGGACAGGCCGAGACTATTCTGGGGCAACTGTGCCGGCCGTTTCTGGAATTTTAAGGCCATCGTGCTGTTTCTTGGGCCGCGCCTAGCAGTGCTGACAGCCCGTGCTGTTTATAGCCATGCTGAAGGTCAGATCAGCCTCTGGAGGGCTGCTGCAGGGCTGGCAGGGTCCTCCTGAACAAACGAATGGGGAAGATAACCGGACAGAGGCCCTCCGCTGAAGAATGCATCCTTAGAGGTCCCCAGGGCAGGCCCTCTCCCTGCATGCTTTTTCTCCCTGGTACTCAGAGATGTTCCTGACCCCGTGAGGGCCCTGAAGGGAGTGGGCGTGAGATTGGCTGGGTCCTAGTGAGCAGACAGTCCAAGCTCCTCAACTCAAGCAACTCCATGGGCAGCCCCCAGGGCTCCTCCGGCTAAAGGCATTGTGGGACAGCAGTAAATGGGAGGAGGATGGGGCTTACTGTGATGTCTGCCAGGACTTGCTAGGTCAGCCCTTCTGCCTGGGAGATGTCTCCCCAGTTCCCTGAATCCCCCTCTCAGCCCGGAGTTATCCATGATTGCAAAGGTCCCCCCACCCTTTGCAATGGAGCCCTCCCATTCCTAAACATAGCTTCTTTGCTCTTTTGAAGCCAGGATCCACCTCTTCCCAGGAACCATCCTAAGTGGCATAAAGCAGACTTTGCCATGTCCCAGTGCTCTCGGGGACCCACTGGGTAGCATCCAGGACATAGACAGAACTATGACACAAGAGGAGAAGAGAAGTGGGAGGATGGGAAGTGCTCCTTGGTGGAGCACGGGCTTAGCATGCACAAGGGCTCAATCCCCAGTACCTCCTTTAATGAATAAATAAATAAAATCCACCCCCCAAACAAAGAAAAAAAAGATAAAAAAACATTTTTTAAATTTAAAAAGAGAGAGAGAGAGAGAGAAGAAAGAGACTCAGAAGGCCAGGGAGGGGTGTGATCAGCTAGAGAAGTAACCAGTGACCCCTGGCTTTGGGCACAGGGAGGTCATTGGTATGTGTGAAGCGGTGGGGGTCAAAGTCAGATGGCTGAATGTGAGAGGGATGGGAGATCGCAGAGGCAGGACCCGCTGGTCACCTCTTGGAGAGAAACATGGCAAGAGCCAGTTGGAGCAGCTAAGGCCGAAACAATGAGAGGCCTTTTTCGAAGACAATTTTTTTAGAGCAGTTTTAGGTTCACAGCAACACTGAGAGGAAATTTCTCAGACATTTCTCATCTATCCCCTGCTCCCACACATGCACAGCCTCGCCCATCACCTACATCCTCCACCAGAGTGTGCCTTTGTTACAACTGATGAAGCTACATTGACACATCATTATTACCCAGAGTCCAGAGTTTACATTAGGGCTCACTCTTCGTGTCTTACATTCTGTGGTTTTGGACCACTGTATTATATGTATCCATTATAGTGTCATAGAGAGTATTATCATTGTCCTAAAAATCCTCTGTGCAGGGAAAGGCTTTTTGAGTATAAACGAGACTCTGGCATTTTTATCAGCCAGGGTGCAGTGGGAGAGTGGGGCCATGGCATGACAGAAGGTTCCAGTGAGAGGGTAAAGGATGGAGCAAGTCCTCAGGGGAAGACAGATGGGAAGGGAACGGAGTATGGCCTGATAGTGTAATTTAATCACACGATGTAAAATGCACTTAGGGCTCCATGAAAATCCCCTGGGGTGTTAGCCGGAGAGGGTTGGGAGGAGATGCTGGAAGTTGCATAGCCCACAGCATCCACTCCCTGCCCTTGCCCCCATCCGTCACCACACCTAAACTGGCAGATCTAGAGGGAAAGGAAGACAGGGGCCTGTCTGGGTTTAAGCACTGGGAGTGATGGCCGGGAACTTCTGTGGAGCCCAGTGGCCCCTTCTGCTGCTGAGGAGCTGGGGAAATGCAGCCAAGGGCATGCCGGGGCCTTGCTTCCCTGGGACCCTGGACAGAACTTTTCTCCCTTCCAGATGATGCTTCACCCCCGCCCCCACCAGGGACAGGAGGCTGGCTCAGGGCTGATCAGTCAGGGCTAGCCCCTGGCACACCACCCTCTGCCAGCTCCAGATTTTGTTTCCCATGGAGCCGGGGAATGCAGCCTCCCAACCTCCAACCCCTGGTGCCTCCCAGGGGAAGGGGCCAGGGGCAGAACTTGAGCCTCTTCAGTTGGAGCGTCCCTGAAACTTTCTCAGCTCTGCACTGTCCTTGTATCATACCCTATTTAATGGTGAAGTCCTCTCCACAATCCTGGGGGAAAGGCGTTGTTGCCGGCGTTACCCAGAGGGCTGGCACAGCAAGCTCAGGTCTGGCTCACACCAGGGTCTGTGCTCTTTGCTCCGCTGCTCCCCCCACCACCCCCCAGGCACTGGAGGGTCGCTGGGGCCACAGCTGCTGCCTGGCCCCAGCTACCCCTGTGCCCTCTCTGGGGTGCCCTAAATCACGGCCCAGCAAGGAGGAAGGACTCCTGTGATGATCTGGGCCCCCATACACCTAGAACCTGTCCAAGGGGCTTTTGAGACAGGCCCTCAGTTCCCCGTTGAGAGGTGCCTGGAGACTGGAGAAAACTGAGAAGTAAAATGGGAAGGAAACAATCATTACAAAGAGTTTTTCAAGTGCTCAAGAGGGGCTAGAAAGCCTCTAAAGGAAAAATATCCACCGAAGATTTATTTAGCAACTTGGAGTCTTTTCTGGGACAAGGAAAACAGCAAGAGGGGGTGAGGGAATCAGACAAGAGATACAGGGGTACCTCATGCCTGGACTGCACTCTTCACAAGCCCTGGGCTTTGGGCAAGGGTCCAAGGGTGGCCCCACACTTCTGCCCAGCAGGCTGCTCCTGCCAGGTGGGGAGGGGATCTGATGGCCTGTGGGCTGAGCTGACAGACAACCTCCTTAGGGGCCCTGCCTCCATCCTGTCCCCTCATTTAAGGAGACCTGGGCTGAACGAGCAGAGCACCTCCCCACAAGAGGATTTATAGCACCCTCCACCCCACCAGCCCGAGGGGTCTTGGGCCCTGCTCAGGGCAGCCAAAGGTCAGGCCAGCTGAGCCCTGACGAACAGACACAGGTGTGGGGAGAGAGGCGCCGAGGTGGGCTGGAGCCAGCCCGGCGGCTCTCCTCAGGGAGCTTGGCTACCGACCAGGCCCCGGGGGAGGCTGGGCTCTTCCCCTGGGAATAGGATCTCCTTAGTCCAAACTTGAGGATAAGGGGGGAGCCAGGCAGGGCCAGGGAGCCCTGCAGAAAGGAATGGCGTTGGCTAGCCCATGCCTGCAGGAGAAAGACATTCTCAAGGCAGCTCCGAAGGAAGGGCATCCAGGTGGCCCCATGGCTTGCCCTAGCTGATCTGGCCCCAGTCTCTCTTGGATGTCATTCTGGTGTCCTTGTTCACACTTTATCCATGATCTCCTGGACACAGCTCTAGTCCTGCTTGGCAGGCATCACCTCCACCGGCATGAGGCCCCCTTCTCTGTAGATGCTTAGAAGCATTTTGGGGAGCCCTGGGGTTGGGGAGCCCTGCTTGGGGGTGTCCTGCTGTGGGGGAGCCCCACAGTCAGTCCACTAAGACCGCAGAGGCATCGCAGTTCACCCAGAATGGAAACACACTGGTGTCTGCTACCTTCTCTGCAATGCTTCAGACATAAGCTGGATGGATGAATGGAGAGAGGGGTGGGGACGTGACCAGCAAGTCACGTGAAAAGCTACAGAAGAACCTCAGTGGTGGGTATTTGGGTGTTCACTGTAGAACTGCAGGATTCGTTCCACCTTTTTCTCTGTTTGAAAATGTCCATAACCAAGTGTCAGGAACAGTAGAGCCCTGACTGTGAAGCTAGAAGGTGCAGGGAAGGTGATTTTCTGCAGCCCGGGCCTGGCTGAGCAGTTCAGCCTGCCCTCAGGAGTCCGCTCTCAGCCTAGAAAGTGCTTGGCTTTTCTTTGTTGTTGTTTTTTATCCTTTGTGCAACCACTGAAATCTAAGGAGACAACCCACTCTTGTCATTAGTAGGGGCTCTGCATGGCCATTGATTTGGAGATAGAGGCAACGCTGGTTTTGAGATGGCCTGTGGGGCTCCAAGGTGCCCCTGTGAGTCCTTGGAGAGCAGGCTGGACTTGGCAAACCAGACAGCGTGGCTTCCTAACCATCCAGTCCTTTGTTTCTCTGTTGCCCTTGCCTCGTCTCAGCAGATTCTGGGGGTAGTGGGGAGGCTGCTCTGGGCACAAGGTGGCCAGTGTTTAAGAAGATACCAAGGTTTCTGGGCCTGAAATGGTGGGTCCAGAGCAATCGGCGAGAGCCCTCCTGCTCTTGCAGTTATCCCTGGGTTAGCACAGGCGGTTTCCGGCCCACCCTGAAGAGCCCATCCGGGAATGGCCTGCAGGCTGGTGACTGCAGGGCCCTGGTTTGGATGGGAGATCCCGGAGATGGGCCTGGCCGGAGGTTTCCATCCACATCTGAGAGCCCAGAGTCTGGCCAGAGGCCCACCCAAGCCTGGCATCTGGTATAGGACTGTCCCCAGGTCCTTTCTAGGCTCCGTCTAGGATGGTCCCCAAGCCTTGGCCAGAAAATGGCTTCTGTCAGCATTAGAAGCCAGCCTTGTTCCTGGGGTATAGCCACGAAGTTGACTGGGATGTGCCCAGAGAAGCCAGGAGGACTGGCTGGTGGGCATGTTGGGGAGGAAAAACCAAGGGACATGCTCCAGGCACAGCTCAGGAGGGGGCAACTCCCAAGGGCTCCTCTCTCCTGTGATGTCACTGGGGGCAAGGCCTGCCTGGCATCCCAAGTGATGTCATGGGGAGCTTCCACATGATTTCGTGGGGGTCAGGTTATAAACTCATTCTATGTGATGTCAGTGGCGGGGTGGGGCTTGCATGGTATTCCATGTGACGTCACGGGGGTGGAGCCAGAGTCTCCTTGACATTCCATGAGACATATTTAGGGTTGAGGCTTCACCACATTCCAGGTAATGTCACTAGAGGCCGGCCATCAAGCTATTTTAGGTGATATCACTAGGCCCTCCAGAATTTTGCATTTCATGTGACGTCACTGGCGGGGAGGCCATCACGGCACTCAGGGTACTATTACTGGGGCGGGACATGCAGAATTTGGCATTGTGCACGATGTCATTGGGAGTGGAGTCTGAGCCATCACACCATCCCAAGGAATGTCCCTAGGAATGTGGCCTTCGTGACATTGCATGGGGTGTTCCTGGGGTGGCACATCCGTGGCATTCTGTGTGATCACACTGGGGGTGGGGCCCCCAGATGCTAACATTCTGTAATGTCACTAGGGTGCAAGATTTGGGAACTGGCCTCCACATTTGCACCTGCCCTTCTGGAAGTTCAGCCCACCACTGAGCCCCACCCTATGTCCCAGCCGACCTTGCTCCCAAGCAGGGTTGACAGCTCGGCCAGCCTTCTCCGCACAACTGCCAGGGTGGCACTAAGCACTTACATGAGAATACTTTTGTGAGCGTGCATTTGGCCTGCCTGCTAGCCTGGCAGCATCTCTGCAGTGGGTGGTGCTGAGTTTTAGCAGCTGCGGAGTTCTTCTGGAACCTAGAGAGTGTGCCCTGAATTTGCAGGGCGCAGATGTTACAGTAGGCTAATTGATGTAACAAACACCTCCTCCCCTTCCAGGTCTCAATGGCTTAGCACAGTGAAAGTTTATTGGATGTTATGCAACATCCAGTGTGGTGCTCCTTAGTCATATCTCCTCCAAGCAGTGACTCTAGGATCCAGGTCCCTTTCAGTTAGTGGCTTGGCTGTCCTCTGCATCCAGTCAGCTGACAAGCAGAGAGAGTGAAGGATGGCAAGATGGTTGGAGGGCAGGCCTGGAAGCAGTGTACACTGTTTCCTCCCATGTTCCACGAGCCAGAGCTAGTCTCATGGCCATATTCAGATACAAAGCACTAGGGAAGGTGACAGCTGTATGCCAGGAAGAGGAATCAGGCTTGCTGAGCAGTGGGTACTGGCCATAGTGAATGAAAGACAAAAATGGCAGGCCTCTACTGGATGATCCCGGGTGATTCTTCCCTGAGGACTGGCCCATCCTCAGGCCCAGTCTCCTTATGCTCACCCCTCATCTGCTGTCCTCTCAGATCACGCCGGGCAGCAAGGCCGCCCAGTCCCAGCTCAGCCAGGGTGACCTCGTGGTGGCCATTGACGGCGTCAACACGGATACCATGACCCACCTGGAGGCCCAGAACAAGATCAAGTCTGCCAGCTACAACCTGAGTCTCACACTGCAAAAGTAGGTGGGGGCTCTCCAGAGCAGGGGGCTGGGTGTAGGCACCAGGGGCCCAAGAGAGAAGCTGTCCAGCATGGGCCCAGCCTTGTGCTACAGGGCCACATGGGGAAGTAAGGACATCCTCTGGACCAGAGGAACGACAAGACCAAGTCAACACGACCTGCCACGTCTGCGCCTCACTTTACTGATGAGGCTCAGAGAGGGCGGGTCCCTGTGTTGCCAGTATGTGGGCAATCGGGCCTAGAAGCCAGGGTCTTCCCTGCTTTCTCTTTGCCCAGGCAGTCTCCCTGGGACCTAGCAGAGGCCCATACCTGCCATATACTCCAGAGCCACAACTCCTCCATGCTGGTCAGGCCCAGTGCCTGCCTGGGGCAGTCCCTCTGCCCTGGATCCCTGCATTTCAGACGTTCTCCCCTCGCCAGCCCTGCCCAGAGAGGAGCTTCTGGCCCCAGAGGCAACTGTCTTCATCTGGTCCCATTTCTGGTTTTTCCAGGTCGAAGCGTCCCATTCCCATCTCTACGGCTCCGCCCCCGATCCAGTCCCCTCTGCCGGTGATCCCCCACCAGAAGGTAGGTGCTGACTGCGGGCAACAGGCTCCCTTGGCCGTGGTTCCTGGAGTGCAGCCCCTGGTCTGCCTGCCTGACCCTCAGTTGGCCTGACTTGAGCAAGGTGGTGGGACCAGCCCTGCGCCAGGCCTGCCCCTGCCATGGCTGATGCCAGGGAGGTGGGGCAGGCTCCCGGGGAGAGGCATTTGAGTCCCCCACGAAATTCTGAGTGCCAAGATGCCCACCAGGTGCCTAGCCAACACCCTGGGCCTTGGAGCTGGGCTGACCAAAAATCAGTTTAGGCAGCAGTGTTTTCAGGGGAGGGACCATGCTCCCAGCCAAGTAGGGACAGGCATCCAGAAGGCTCTGACCCTTGTCCTCCTGCGGGCACCGAGGAGGGGGCCGTGACTGTGGCATGGTTTGAGCCAGCCACCCCAGGAGGCACTCCCAGATGTGGGGGACCTGCTAGCCTTCAGGGCTCCTCTTCTGTCTCAGGACCTCTTCCCTCGGTTTGCCTTTCTCCTCCCAAATGCACACCCCTAACAGCACTCAGAAGTGCTGGTGCGGCCAAGAGGCAGGCACACCTCATCTCTGTGCCCCGGGCCCCTTCCTAGATCCGTCTAAGCAGCTCAACGCCAAGGCACCCAAAGCACAGGAGGCCCACCCCACCGCTCCTAGAGGACTGCACACTCCCACCCTCCACCCCTCCCTGTATGACTTCATACTGACCCTATCGGTCCAGTGGGGCACAGTGGGCAATGGGCCAGGTGGAGGAGGAAGGACAGGGAGAATCTGTCAGGGGTTTGGGGTGGGTGACAGCTGAGGGAAGTGGGCAGAGGGCTGCTTGGGAGAAGCTGCAGAGGCAGACTGAGGGGACCAAGTGTCAGCCCCCTCTTCCTCAGTTTCCCATCTGGCACCTCTACTTCGCCTGTTCACCGGCCCAGGACCCCCTCTCACTGGCCATGGGGGGCATCACAGCATGGGGTCAGCAAAGCGGGAGGCAAGGCTGTGCTTGCCAGGTGTCTCCACTCAGAGGAAAGGGGGACAGATGTAAGATGGAGGGGGCTGCCCCCAATTCTCTAAGACCCATACCCTTCTTTCCTTCAGCCCTGCAGGCAGGCTGGCTTGGCTGAGCTTTCTGAATGGGGCTTTGCATTTGGTCCAGGTAGATGAGAGCTCCTGGGCCAAGAGCCACGTACGTGCCTCCTCCGCTCTTTTGGACAAAACCCTTCTCTTCCAGGTGTCCAGCCTGTCCCTCCCGGGCTCTGTGCAGTGGGCTGCAGGCTGCAGGGTGGCAGGCTGCTGGGCGCTCACTAACACCTCTGTTTCAGGTCCATGCAGATGCGCTGGGACGGGCGCAGCTTCTAACTGCTCTCTTCTCTCTCCCCTGCATGGCGCTGCCCTGGGCCAGGACCCAGCTCTGGACATGAACAGCAGCCTGGCAGCACCCAGCCCCAGCCCTGAGGCGAGGGCTGGCCTGGGCACCCCAGGCACGCCGGGCACCCCGGAGCTCAGACAGACCTTTAGCTCCTCCTTCTCCCAGACCTCTGTCTTCTCCTCACACACGGAGGCCTCTGACCCCGGCCCTCCACGGGGCAGCCCAGGGAACAAGACCAGCCTGGAGGGGGCTCTGGACAAACTCAGCCTGAAAACCCCGCTGGGCTCAAGTCAGCCAAGGCAGTATAACAACCCCATTGGCCTGTACTCGGCAGAGACCCTGAGGGAGATGGCTCAGATGTATCAGATGAGCCTCCGAGGGAAGGCCTCAGGTGCCGGACTCCTAGGAGGGTAGGTAACGGGCGCACAGCTCTCCACTGGTGGTCTGGGCCACCTGGGTCCTCAGTGCTCACGGAGACCTGATCAGGTGATCAGAGCAAGGAACTGGCCTCCTTCCGGCCAGCCTCAAGCCCAAAGGCTGCGCAGGCTAAGAGCAGTGAAAGTAATCATCCTGTTGATATTGGCCTTGAGCTGGGTGCTTCCTTGCTTTGCATAAGCTGGGGTGACGTGTGGGATTTTGCAGAGAGGGAAACTGAGGCTCAGAGATGGTTAAGTCAAGGTCCAGCTATCCAGCCACTAAGTGGCCAAGGCTGGGCTTGAATGCAAGAGACTCCCAAAATTCTGACATCGGGTCACCCTCCTGGGACAGGACAAAGTCTGATACCTCCAGGAGCTCTGGGGAAGGGGACAGGCTGGTCCCCACCCCTCTGGGAGCCTTGAGAGGTGGGAGGACAAGTTCTCCAGGGCTGGAAGTGGTCTGGGAAGGCTGCCTGGAAGAGGGAGCATCTGAGCTGGGTGCAGAGAGACTGGGCAACAGTGTGAGGGGGGTGGGCTGTCAGGAATGACCCTGGCTAGTGTGGGGCATCAAGAAAGCAGGACATCGAGGAGAAAGGGGCTGTGCAGGAGAACAGCAGGCCACCCCCTGCCCTCTGTGGTCTAGCTGATGGGACTCTTTGGGCACAAGACTTAAAAGAATCTAGAGCCCGGGTGGGTGTTGTAGAGGGGCTGAACAGAGGGAGCCTCCAAGCAGAATGCATATTAGCTTCTAAGAACTTCACGTTTGTTATCTCATTGTAACTTCTCCCACGGCCCCATGCAGTTGGTATAACTGTCTGGGCTAGAGGCAGGGCAGGCTGAATCAAGGCAACGTGGCCTAGCGTTAGGGGTTCAGGGCTCTTCCATGAGACTGTCCGTGTCTCAGGATTGCTGGGAGGACTGAGGGAGACAAGTGCGTAGCACTGAGAACGGATGAGTCAGCATCACAAAGCAGGTCAGCTGGATCCAAGCCACACCCTTCCTTTGACCTTGACACAGAAGGTGCCTGTGCTCCAGCCGTTCACTACTCCCCTGGGGGTCCCCATCCTCCCCACATCCCCTAGATCTTTCTGGATTCTGAGTGAAGCTGGGCACTCCATGGTCTGAGCATTTAGACCTTGGCTTCTCTGGACCAAGGTGGCAAAGCCTTATATCCCCAGGCTTTTCCCAGTCAGGAGCTTCTGCCAGCACAATCGGGGCCAGCTGGATCCAAGCTCACACCCTTCCTTTGACCTTGACGACTGGGGACCAGTTAACAGTCCATATGCTTTATCTAACACAACTCTCTCAGCAACACTTCCCCCATTTTGTACTTGGGAAATCGAAGCCCAGAGAGAGTGAGTAATTTGCCCCAGGTCACACAGCCAAAGAGTAGCAGACAGAACTGGTACTCAGTTCAGTCTGACTCCTCCCTACATAGAGGAGTCAGACTGCCTGCACCACTTGCCTGCACCACTTCTGCTTCCCGTGACTCCCAAGGTGCCCTCCCATTGATGCAAGCACTTCTCAGAAACTGACAAGTGCTAAATTATTACTTGACACTCAGAGCAGCAGGGTCCAACAGTTTCTTGATGGGCTAGAGACTGAGTGTGGTGCACACTCATCCAAAGCGAAGGCTGATGCTGCGGGCCCGGGAAGAGGGGCGGAGCCTCTGACCTGGGCTGGTAGGGGCTGAGGCCACAATCTTTGTTAAATGTCTAACTGCTCACAGCAGATAGCGTTGGCAAATGCTAATCCCCATGTCCATTCATTGAACACTTAACTCACGCTGAGGGCTTTATACTCAGGATTCTGTTTAGTCTGTGGTGGGTACCATCATCTTGATTTTATGAATGAGGAGACTGAGGCTAAAACAGGTGGGTAACTTGCCCAGAGCCACTGGCTAGGAACAGGCAGGATGAGGATTTGAACTCTGTCCTATCTCGCTTCAAAAGGAAGCTCCTTCCCCTCCTTTCTCTGGGCAGCTTGCAAGGTGATTCCTTGGCTGCTTATATCCTTTCAGGAGGAGTGGAGAAGAACAGATCAGGGTGCAAGAACAGCCCAGCCTGCAGCCCCCTGCACCTCGTTCTCTCTGAGGCCGGTGCTGAAGGGGAGTATCCTTCAGGCCAGTAGGTACAATGTCCCCCCGGGTGGGTCTTACATCTTTGGCTCATTCACCCCAAGACCTGGGTGCTGGCTCCTCTCTGAACCATGTCTGCTGCAGGCATCCCAGTCCCCATGTCCTCAGGCAGAAGCTAGGCAGGGGGCAGGAACCAATGCCAAAGAAGGAGCTGGCTACCCAGGTAGGAAGGGGCAGAGGCAGCCCCCAAGGCCAACACTGCCCTCTACAGGGGGCACTGGGCTGGTCAGGGCAAGGGCTGACCCTGCAGCTGTCGACACTGGCCAAAAATGGAGAAGGAATGGGAGATCTGTGCTGGCCCTTTCCTAATATAACTCCACATGCAGCTATTTTGAGCCTGGGAGGACAGAGGGGATTTTATCAGCTCTGGCACAGGGTTAGGCTGAGACGAGGGGGTCTCCTTGGCTTTGGCCTGCATCCCCAGAGTCCTAGCCAAGGGATGACCAGGGCCAGGCCAGCTGAGGCCTAGGCTCTCTCAGGAAGAGCCCAGTGTGGTCAGATCTGGGAAGGTGGCAGAGTGTGGGGACAGGGACACCACCTTCTGCACGCTTCTCCCCTCAGGTGTCTGACAAGAGTCTACCACTGCAAGGAAGAGGCATTTAAAGAAACAGTGCCAGCAATGCCTCCCTTAAGGAGATGATACTCCAGGAGGCTGGCTCTCAGATAAGAGTGTGAGGCTGGAGTTGCTCTTGTGGTGTCCAAGCTGGGCTGCTTTGGCTGGGGGCTTTCCTGTGATAAGCCTTGGACCCACACTTCTCCTAAGCCTCCATACTCCTCCATCCTGCCTCAATGCCCACCACAGGGCCTTGAGGGGCGGTTACTGGAAACTGCACATACCCCCTGCTATTGTGCCCCCAGAGTGTCCAGGGCTGCCCGCCCCTCCTCTTAGAGGGAGACCATGTTCCTGGGGCTGTGAGTAAGCCTACCGCACACACACCCCGGCACCATGGCAACTCCAGCTCTGGGAGCAGTATTCCTGGAGCTGCCCCTCAGGGTAAGTTCAGAGCTGCTGTCTGGCCCAGAGGTGCCTGGGGCTTTGGCCATTCCTGTAGCAGCCATAGCTGGTCCTGTCTCCATCTCCAGCTTCCGCTCCCAGGGTCTATAGCCAGGTTGCATGTGAGAGATTCATATACATGGTACACGAGTGCCCATGAAGATGGACCAGAAAACCCTTCTCCCTGGCAAATCTTCATGTATCGTGCACCTACCGAGGGGGAAAGGCTGCTTTTGGCATCTGTGACCCAAACTGAGAGGCTGTGATCGCGACTCTGAGCTCTTCACCTTCTTCACTCGGCACTGTCCTCACCCAGTCCCAGTGCGCCCCCACAACGGCCAGTCTGAGGATGGTCCCTTCCCGCAAATCCTCTGGCAGGAGCCTCGCTCTGACAGTCCTGTCTTCTTTGTTCTTTCTCTCCTCCCCAGGTGGTAGTCAACTCTCCAGCCAAGTTAGTATCAAAGGAAAGCATGTGTGTGCGCTTGCGTGCATATCCCAGCATGCGTCGGCGTGTCTGGGGGTCTGGATAGCGTGTGCCTGTGGCAGCATGTGTACGCGTGTGCGCATGCGTGAGTGGGGGTGCATTTGTGTCCCCGAGTGAGCCTGCATGTGTGTGAAGCTGCGAGTACGGCGTGGAGGCGTTGGGGACCGGTGCTAGGGCTCCATCTGATGCTCCCGGCCATTCTGCTCCCAGTTTTCCTGCTGCAGCTGCTTAAGACCGCAGGCTGGCTGGCTCTAGTGAGCGGTGGGTGGAGGGCTGCGGTTCCGGGTGAGCCTGAAGACATTTCTGGCCTGGCGGGACCCCTCAGAAAGGCTATGCCTGACTTTGTCTTTGCCTGCGGAGCGGGCGCACTTACCTGCTGGAGGGAAAAGCCTCGAACGGGAGAGACTGGCAGGCCACACAGCAAGTTGGACTTGGAGGGCCTGAGCCCCTCAGCCCTGCTCCGAGGAAGAAGCACATGCACTGAAGCCTCTGGAGGAGAAGATCCCACCCGCCACCCAGCGGGTGGCCAGCAGGATGAGCCCTTTCATGGAGGAACCAAGCTCAGAATCCCCGTGGGTGCCCAGTAGGGCTGCTTTTGGCCTTTGGGACGTTCTGGACTCCGCTTGGGCTGCCGCTGCCTCTCACGCGTGGCCCAGTTCCTGTTCTCTAACCCCAATCCCTACTCCCCAACCCTTTATGCCTCTGCTTCGCTGCGGGCGTGATGAGAGATCGCGCAATGCCTGGCGCCCCCTGCTGACCCTAGGAGGTAGCTCAGGCTGAGATCTGGGAAAGCGGCGGTGGGCAAGAAAAACCTTCCGCAGAGGACTCTGGGAAGGGTGCCAGGATTTTTCCTGACCAGACTCAGCCAGCCCACGGGGTGGGTGGGGGGGGCACTTGGGTAGCCTACCTGGGGTCAGGCTTTGGGAGATCTCTCTCCACACCCTCCCCCACCAGCCCTCACCTTGACCCGTCTAACTCCACCTGTCGCCCTTCTCTCCTTTCACCTCCCTCCCTCGCGCCCCTTCCCATGCCCCCCCCACTCCCCTCCCCCAGCGCCGAGGAACGCTTCAACCCTAGTGCCCTGAAGGATTCGGCCCTGTCGACCCACAAGCCCATTGAAGTGAAGGGGCTGGGCGGCAAGGCCACCATCATCCACGCGCAATACAACACGCCCATCAGCATGTACTCCCAGGACGCCATCATGGACGCCATCGCCGGGCAGGCCCAGGCCCAGGGCAGTGACTTCAGTGGGTAAGCGCCTCCCCTCCTCCGCGGAAGCTCGGTGCTCACCGCCTCCTCCACCTCATCCGTCACCTGCCAAGGGCACCAGGCCCCGGGCGCCATCGGAGACATTCGGCGTCGGGATCAACTTTCCTCCCTCGTCTTGAGCCCCCCAGGGCACAGCCCTTGGATGAGAGCCAGCCTTTGCCCCGGCCTTCCAGAACATGGTGTTCTCTCTTAAGAATCAATCTTATGGTCAGCTTTAGGAGAAGGGTGGAGAATGCAGAATGCGATGCTTCCTCCAGGTGCTTTCCACAGTGGGACTTAGGACATCCTTGGTTCCTGAATTTGCTTGTTACTGATGGTTGAGGAACTTGAGGGCTGAGTAGGAAAGAGTTGGCTGAATGTCATTTGTCAATGAAACTGGTAATCGTACAAACATTAATGGGGACCTCTCTCCCTCTTTCTGACTTTCTGTCTCACTTTCTTCTCTGTATCTCTTTCTTTCAGTGTATGCTTCTCTGTGTTTCTCTGTCTTTCTCTCTGTCTCTATCTCTGTCTCTTTTCGTGTTTCTGTCTGTCTTTGTTGTCTGTTTCTTCCTTTCACATACACATATGGAGTCCCTTACTGCATTCTACTTGGGAATACCATTAGTGTTGACTTTCAGAACTGAATATCTCTTTGGGTAACAGCTTACCCCTGAGTCAGGATCCCTGGCAACTCAAGGCAAGAAATCTTAAAATGATGGCTGTACATTTTTCCGAAGCTAGGAAACAGATGTTGTCAGAGGGATAGAGAACTCCTGTAGCGTTTGGCCTTTGCAGAATCCAGACCTTGTGGCCATAACGTGCATGCAGGTTATAAGGGGCAGGCTCCAGAGGCCAAAGGATGGAAGGTGATGTGAACTTCCTGGCTCTCCTGGTCCTCGGGAGCCTGGGCCTCTCAGGCACGCAGTACTTCGTTCCGACCACCAGGGGGCGGAAGTTGCTTGCCCTGCAGCGGCGAGTCTCCAACCAGACAGACTCAGGGCTGCAGTTCTCTGCAGAACTCTACGGGCAGAGTTGATTTATTTAATCTCATCGTTCGAAGCAGAAAATATGACCGTGTAAGTTTAAAAACACAACCATTAGCTCATGTGTACCCAGGAAAACAAGGCTGCCTGATTAAGCCAAGAGCTAACAGGGATTTCCTGTTAACATTCGTTTGCCACGTGTGTCCTTGGTGTGCCCTTAAAAGCGGTTAACAGTCGCCAAAGGGAATCGCAGTGGAAGATAATGGAAGAACTGCTGTTCACTAATTTTATATTTTCTGCATCTTGGGAAAGGGTTGCTGTCACTTGGTTTTTACCTCTAGGGCGGCTATGATTTTTTTTTTTAACATGATGCACCGTTGATCTAATCTAGGCTTCTTAGAGGACCTTTCCCATCTCCTTCCTATCCCCTCCCCTCCCCTCCTTTTCCCTTCCCTCGCGTGCCTGGGAAGGGACATGCTTCCCTTTCCTTCTAACTCAGCCCTGCTGGGTTGATGCTGCTGCGGTGCCGGTGGGTAAGAGCGGCCCTGGTCTGCCATCAGGTGCTCCGTTTCTGCTGTTAATTTCCATGATTCCTTCCTCACTGACAGTTTTCTTTTTGTCTCTCTCTCTTCCTCCTTTATCCACCCCACTCCCATAACTCATTTCTGATCCTAACCCTGCTCCCTTGTGTGTGCGCCGCCCCCCCGCCCTCCCATGATGGACACGCACTCACTGCTGGGCTTTCCTCTGCTTGGCAGGGCATCGCCGCTGGCGTAAGTAGACCCCACAGTGTCTGTTCCGTCGTCCGTCTGTCTGGTTGTGGGATGATGTGTGGGTTTGTTGGGATGTGCCTGAGGACGCTGGCTCTGTCCGCGTGCTTCCTCACACCCACCTCACAGGTAAATGACAGGCCCTGCGGCCTCTACAGGCAAGTACTTGTCTTCGGGGGTTTACCCCAAATAATGTCACTCTGGACGCAGAAATCAGAGCAATGACATCGCACTGGCTGCGGGTGTATGCCTGTGTTCCCCTTGCTGTGCTTTGCGGGGGCTCCCCCCAGACTATCTTGTCCATACTGGGACAGCGTAGACCTGAATGTCAGAATCCACACCGGGCCATTATTTGGGGAGAGGGTGATAAGGGGCCTCTTGGAGGCCGCTCCACAGAATACTCATGGAAAGTGGATCTGGAGGAGCCAGCGCCTGCCAGGACCACTCACAGGAGGTGAACGATGAGTCAGATTTGGGGGCAGGGTACAGTGGAGTAAATGCCCACAGGTGACCCTGGTATTTTGGTTACCATGGAGTGTTTTTGGTGGCGAGACGTTCCTGCTGGGAGAGGCTCCAGAGAGTGACCTCTGGGACCCAAATTCCCAGAACTGCAGGGCCCGTTCCATCCTCTCTGTGTACATTCTTCCTGAGCCCCAGGATTGCAAAAGGCACAGCAGTTCCTTCATCTGGCCACCAGTCTCTGTTGTGTCCGTGGTCTTTGCACAGGATTGTGGAAAGGGAAGCCAACAATGCGAATCCTGGCAGCTCACTCCTGGCAGCTTTCTTGAGCCTGTGGAGTCATGGAAGGAACGGGGAGAGCCTCAAGGGCCCGTTTCAGGGAAATGGCAGCAAACACCTCCCATTTGTTTTCGGACCCCTGGAAACTCCTCCCTATGCCAGTGAGATTCCACCCTCCCCTCCGCTCCCTGAGCAGCACCAGTCTCCCCCTTGCCTGGACCCCAGAGGGGTCTGTTGATCTTCCCTGTCTCTCTTTCTCTCTCTCTCTCTCTCTCTGTTTATTTTTTGTTGTTGTTGTTGTTGTTGTTTTTTTAATGGAGGTGCTGGGGATTGAACTCAGGACCTCGTGCATACTAAGCATGCCCTGTACCACTGAGCTATACCTGGCCCTGGCCTTCTTTATCTGATCCCAACCAGACTGCCAGGACCTATGGCTCTCCAGGCCAGGGCAAAAGCCTTCAGGAAAGTTCCACCTGACCTTAGTCATTCACCTTTCGTCCATCTCTGCTCTCATGGCCCACCCTGAGCTGACCTGGAGACTAACCAGTTCTTCCATCCAGCTCTTTGCAGAGAGGGTAGAAGACCTGAACACTGGGGAGGTCCCCTTTCCAGCTAGCCAGCCCTTGGGTGGGGGCAGGGTGGGAGGGGAGGTGGAGGCAGCTGTAGCGGCAGACATGGGGAAGCTGGACGGACAAGGGGATGTCTGGGCTGGACTATGTCTCTGGGTGTGGAGCATCTGGGGTATGCAAGTCACAGTGGGCAGAAGTGGCCTTCCTGAGCCCTGTCATTCTAGAGGGTCTGATGGGAAGGACGCTGGGCTGGGAGCTAAGAAGCCGAGGTTCTAACTCAGTGGGGCCTCCGCGTGCCATACCCTGGAGCTGGTCAGCTGGCCTCTCTGGACCTCAGTTTCAACATCTGTCAGAGGAGAGGGTTGGGCCACAGTCCGTAGGCTGGGGAGGAAGACTGTCATTGCTGTGAGCTTCTCCTGAGCCCATCCTGACTCCTAAGAGTGTGGACTGGGCAGCCTGGATCCCCCAGCCCTCTCTGGTCGGGGTAAGTGGTCACTCATAAAGCATTTAATGTTTCTTGCCCTGTGGTCTGATCTGGGCTGAGAGGCCCTGGACTCAAAGGCCTTTGGGGTCCCTGCTGGCTCTGATCTAGTATTTGTTCATTCAACTAAGTTTTGAGCACCTACTGTGTGCCACACCCTGGGAGTCTAAGGGAAGGTCACCAGGTCCCCCTCAAAAGGCTGTGCTGCTCCAGGGCAGACACCTAGTGACTCTCCCAACCCCCCAGCCCCCCTGCCAAAGCTCCACTCCCAGGCCCCACGGGCTAGAAACCCCACTGTCTGTGGGCGATGCCCAGCCTCCGAGCCTAGTCACCCCATTTCTCTCAGTACCTCCTCGCCAAGCTTGCCTGTTTTTGCCGAGCAGGAGCCCCAGTCCCCTTCCAGGGCAGTCACCACATTGGTGGCTCCCTGTATGGATGCCAAGCTTTGAAGAGAACGAGGAACTGACCATGAGGAAACCTCTGAGTCCCCCAGACGGCTTGTCCTCACCCAGCCCTACTCAGGGCCTGCTCAGGGTGGTTGAAATTACTTCCAGAAGACCTCTTCTGTCTCTTCTTTCCTTAAAGGAGATCGAGTCCCTGGATCGGGGGTGTCTGGACCTAGCAAGGCGGGATGGGGTGGTGATGGCAGGCGGGTCTGACCTCCTGACCCTCCTTGAGTGGAATTCATTGTCTCTTTGTGGCCACCCTGAGCACTGAGGACCCAGGCCAAGCCCCTGTCACAGGCTCTCAGATGGCAGTGGGTAAATGGTGTGGTGGGCTCAGACAAGTAGGGGCCACCAACAGGCCTGAGGGTGGGCATCAGGGGGACACGACATGGGGGAGGCGCAGGGTTCCAGCCCTGCCCGCGCTCACGGCCTCTTTCTGCATTGCAGGAGCCTTCCTATTAAAGACCTGACGGTAGACAGCGCCTCTCCTGTGTATCAGGCTGTGATTAAGAACCAGAACAAGCCGGAAGACGAGGCTGATGAGTGGGCCCGCCGCTCCTCCAACCTGCAGTCACGCTCCTTCCGCATCCTGGCCCAGATGACTGGGACGGAATACAGTAAGGGAGGCTGTGGGGGGCTCAGGGCGGGGCAGGCAGGGGAGACTTCGAGGGGCCCTACTCCATGGTCTCAAGGCCCACGGAAGCCAGGGAGTCAAGTCCCTCATCCTTGAAGACGAGCTGGCCTTGATAGATCGTAGCAGCCAGCTGCGCACCTTCACCCTGGGGCAGGTGAATTGACTTCAGCCTTCTGCTCAGCCCTGCCTCCAGCGGAGGACAGCAGGTTTGCATGGTGCTTGCCCGGAATGGGAGAAGAGGACTTTGCAGGCCACGCCTCCGACCATTGCCTGTCACCTGCACCATTTCCTCTCATGTCCCCTTTCTCTCCCTGCCCTCTGCCCAGCACACAGCCTTCTCCTCCCAGCGGTCCCAGGGAGGGAGCAGTAACTGTCCTGTCGTAGGTGGGACTCAGTGCCCACCAGGCTCCGGTAGCTTTTCTTCCTGCTGTTCCCTGTGAGTCCTCCTGACCTGCAACTTTCTACCCACAGTGCAAGACCCTGATGAAGAAGCTTTGCGAAGGTCAAGGTAAGTGCCTGGACTCAGGCTCTTTGGCCTTGCCCCTCCTAACCCCATCCCTCCCAGGGCGGCCCCCAGGTCACACGACTCATGGAAGGAACTTCTCAAGTCAGTGCATTTGGAAACTCCCAGCCCCTGGAGGGCTCCGGCAGATGCTGGCTTAGGGCATGTGTCCCCAGTCAGTGAGTGTCTGGAGCTGAGCCTCAATCTTCCAGGCCCAGGCTGCACGAGCAAGGACTCTGGGCTCTCCCAGCTCTGTCTCTGGGCAGGGGGCAGGGCTGCTTTGGCCTTTGCTGGGCTGTTGAGAATGAGGACATCTCTCCCTGTGAGGCACCAGGCCGGCTGCCTTGCCTGTCCACTCATCTCAGGGCCTGTCCCCTGTGAGTCTGAAGGCTAGAGACTGGGCAGCAGGCACGCAGAGGGCTGTGCTGGGTGTGGGCGCCTGACCCTTGGACTCACCTGTCCGGACCCACAGTGAGGTATCAGTGGGTCCGTTCCGCATATTGCTCAAAGCATCACAGCTGCTGCAAGGATTATAAGCCCTGGGCATGGTGTCTCCACGTATGGTCCCCTGATAGTGGCAGGCCTGAGACCCCAGCCACTGGCCTAACACCTTCGGCCTGTCAGGTGCTCGTGGCCCTGGGCATGATGGGGGGCACCCTGCCCTGGAACCCACTGGAAACCACTAGGGTCTTCCATGGGGAGGCATGGGGCCCAGTGTGATTGCGCTTACACTTTCGGAAGCAAATGTGTCGTCTGCATGTCCTTCCTGGGAGAGTCTGCCTTGGGCCGGCACATCCTGTGGTGGCCTCCGTGTGAGGGGCTGGAGCTCAGAAGTGCCTTTCCACCCTGGGCCAAGCTTTCTGTACTTGCTAACCAGCGTGTCGTGGCCACAGGACCGCGTGGAGAGTTGATGTGGATTTTATTTTCGAACCTCTGTTTCTGCCAGTCGAAGTTGCTGCCACTCTTTGGCTGGGGCATCCAAGCCCAAAGTGTGGTCCTCCTCAGCCTGCTAACCATGGCATGCGATTCCAGTGACGGTTCTGAACCTGTCAGTGCCTGCAGTGTGTCTGCAAAGAGCCTGAAATGAGATGGTGTTTGATTTAGCGCCAAAGGTAGTCTCGAGCTATTTGAAGCGTGACTAAGCTGTCAGCGCTCTCCGTTTCGTGCTCCACTGCTCTGGCACCGTTTCCGTGTTTGTCCCACCTCCTCTTTGGAGCCACCCACAGAGATGCTCCCGTGAGCAGCGTGGCCTTCACCGAAGATTTGATGGAGGGGCTTTACAGCATGCACCCCACAGCAAACCACTTAAAAGTCTCCGGGTTCTTTCCATCAAGAAGCCCCCAGGGGCCTGCCCTGCCTTTCCAGCCTCCATCACCCCCTCTTAGTACTTCTGGTTCCTTTATGTTTCTCTGGCCGGTCACCCTAAGTTCCCATCTCAGTAACCAGATACCGTTTAGAAGGAGGACGGAGACTGGCGGAGGTAGATTACAGGGAACCTTTGTCTTTCATGTTTCCCCTGGAAAATGTGCAGACTCTGCTAGGTGATTGAGCAGAATACGAAAGGCAAGATGAAGGGTGGCTCACAGGTCTCGTTGTTGGCCTCTCCCTCCCCTCCCTTGGGGCTTGTTCGGCCTGGTCCTGTGGAAATATGTGGAGGTTAGCCCTCCCCCCTGGGCCTCACTGCCCATGAGCTCCGTTCAGCCCCGGCAGAAGGCAGAGGGTCTTGAGAACTCCGCTGCGGGTCTTGGAACTTCTCTCCACAAGCCCTTGCAGGGTTTCATTGTGGGGATATCTGCAGGGGGCAGTGGTGGCCAGAAAGAACCTCCAGCCTGCTTCCTCCCTCAGTCCAGGCCCCTACCCCAAGAAAGCTTCACCCACCCAGCCCCCCACCCCCACCCCACCTCCTAGACTGTGCTGCAACACTGTCAGCCCCTCCCTCTGCGGCCTCTGGCCCTGCAGTGCAGGCTCTGAGACACCCGGCAAGCCTTGTGCCCAGGACTGGAGGAGCACAGGCCTCCGGTCCTTTTTCCTTTTCCTTTTCCTGACTTTAATTTCTGGAAGGTTGTCCTCATGACCTCACCCAAAATGCTCATTCTCCCTATGACCATAGGAGAAGGGTGGGCATTTTTATTTTGCTGAATCCCAAGCAGCCTGTGTCCTGGGGGTGAGAGATGGGGATGCAGTGGGTGCAGTGGTTCAGTTCTGTTTGTGAGTAATGCCTTAAGTGGTTCCTATGGCCACTGGTCATAGCGTGGGCCCCAGGCTCATCGGAGTGGCCATCTGAGCAGAAGGGAGTACGCTTACCCCCACCCTGGGTCCAGGGTGTTCACCAAATCCGGGGCCCAGCTACCTGGGCTCCATGGCCTCCTCTACCACCTTGTGCCAGGGTGCTTTTGTCCTTCCTCTTGCTGTGTGGTAGGAAAGCTGGCAGGGGTGCCAGGTGCTCTGTACCAGACGGGGACACTAGTGGCCTCAAGGCCAGGTATAAGTCTGCATGTCAGAGGACCCTGCAGACTTGACCCTCACATGTCACTGTTCCGCCCCCCGAGGTCTGCCCCCAGAGCATTGTAGGCAGCTGAGAGCCCTGCCCTGCCCTCCCACCTCGTCTCCTCTCGGGCCCTGGCTCCTGACACTGTGACCATGTCTCTGGGATCTGGTAGCACATCGCTTCCTTCCAAGGCGCCAGTACCCTCCTTCTGGCCTGATCTCCAGGGACTATGTCTTGGCAGGTGAGGCAGGGCGGGCCCCTGAGCAGTCCACACATCAGCTTCAGACTTGGCTTCCCCCCCAGGAAAGACCCCAGCACCTTTGCTGTCCAGGTGGGCTTAAACACCTGCCTACTGCTAGCTTCCACACTGGGGTGCAGGGAATACCGCTCCCAGCCTTCACCAGAAGTCACAGAGTCCCATCCAAAAAGCTGAGCCTCTAGTCTCAGAGAGGTCACCAGAGCTTCCGTCTGACTTTGGGAAGCCGTTCCAGGGCGCTGATGGCCGGCCCCGAGGGGATGGGAGTACAGGCAAGCTCGGCTTCATCCCAGGCAGGGTGTGAATCTACGAGGCATCTGGATCCCATCACTTGGGCGTAACCATCCCCCCGGACCCTGGTGTGGCGCTCGGGCATCCCCTGGTCCCCACCTTGTGGTGCAGCCGTCTACATGCTCAGTCTCTTTGTTTCCCTCATGCTCATCTCAGTAAAGAACGCCACATCTCTTCCTGGTCCCCAAGTGCTCAGGAAAAAGTTGATTTTAGTGACCAGTTCCCAGAGGCGATGAAAGTGAGGGCTGCCTTGCACAACAATGCATCGCCAACAAGGTGAAACCCCTCCAGGTCCCTGCTCCATCGCACAACCATCCAAAGTTCTTTTTCCTCTCCCCACCCCCACTTCCGACGGAGCGCCAGGACTCCCTGGTTCCCCCTCCTCCCCCTGCAGCCTCCTTGGGCACCTCAGTGTCCTCCTCCCTCCTTGTGCTCTGTCCCTGTCCCGTGGCTGACTCTTCCTGGTGCTGGTGCAGCACAGGGCGCCCCCCTCAAGGGAACCTCCCCTCGTGAGGAGGCAGTGGGCAGCCTTAAAGTTACCGCGTCCCTTGGATTTTTAGTCCTTGGTGTTCCATTAGCCTAGCAAGTTGGAAAACTACAACTGGGTGTCACCTGAGTCACCCTAGTGGGGGTCCCGGGACTTTCCTCCCTTTCTCTCTCGCCAGCTCTCCACTCTTTTCCCCCTCTCTCCACTTCCTTCCTCGTCTTGTGCCTCTCTTTGGCTAGCTGTGAGTTTCCAGACAGTCTCAAGCAGAGCAGACTCACTGGCCTCGCCGACTCTCCAGGACTGTCCCTGACCCTGTCACTGAGCACTGATGACAAAGGCTGTGGGCCTGGCTGGACAAACTGGCCGCATCTGTGTCCCAGCTGGTCTCTCTCTGGGCTGGTTGAATGTTGCCGCCCACGGTGCTGTCAGCAGGGCTGAGTGGGTCCTGCCACAGGGCCTTTGCTTGTGATGTCTTCACTCCTTCTCCCCAACCTTGGAGAGGCAGTAACAGAGAATGCCTGGCCCTTAGATCATAGCTCTGCCTCTGAGTTTCCGTGTGACTTTAGGCCTTTCATGTGATGTTGCTGGGCCTTGGCTTCTCAGTATTAGAAAAGTTTGAACCAGTGGTTTTCAACTGTGTTAGCAGGGGGCCCC